AGGGCCTTTACCCGATTCAGACCCTGTTTGAGAAATGCAGCATAGAGGGGTCACTCGCCCAGAACCCCAACTCGTGAAAAGCAGATCAACAGGCATGTTCTCTGGGTCAAAAGTCACATCCTAACTAAAGTAAAAGTCAATGCTAAAGGTCACAGTTGTGCCCCTGGACGAAGAGTTGTAATATTCAAATGTGAGAGGCACATCTGTTCGTCCAAGGGGTGTGCAGGTCATGTTTGTTCGGGCAGTAAATGTGTCTGTTCGTGCAGTATGTGTGTCTGTTCGTGCAGAATGTGTGTCTGTTCGAGCAGTAGGTGTGTCTGTCCAAAGGAAGTCAAAAGGATAAAGTCCCAGTCACGAATTAAGTCAGAAGGGGAGTCTAGATACASGCTCTAAGTCCGAAATTCAGGCCAGATGGCCGCAGCAGCAGCAGACCCTGAAGGGAAAGTACTGGGACACACACCATGCAGAGGTCTGGGACTGAAGGAGGCCCAAAAGTGCCAATGCAGACCTCACGAAGGGAGGCCAGCAGTATAAAGAAGCAGGCCAGCCTCCCTTGAGGACAGATCCCCAGTGGCATTCTGGCGTGGAAGTGCTGAAGGCACTTGTGCGCTGGCTGGCTGGGTGAGCGCTGRCMGGASAAGCTGCGCTAMGARAGGAAGAAGGCTGGGCGCTGGTTTGCAAGTAGCAGCCATAGCTGCCCCAACTAGTTAATGTAGTTAGAGGGTTAGTAGTTAGTCTTCAGTGAGTAGCAGTCAAAGTAGATTCTCGTAGAAGGAGTGTGCATGCACGAAGAGAGAAGAGAACTGAGACAGAGATCTTGAGGGAGAGAGAGAAGAGACAGGTGTACGATGTTGGCTATGGTGGAAACATACCTGTTCTACGTTTAACTTGTTGCTGAGAGGTGGCGCTGGTTGAGCCAGGCCCCACAATGTGGTTGTATGAGAGGGAGAGACATTTTGCACTGTTGGTTCTTGAACTCGAGATACTCTTATAATATGTTGGAGATAATATAAGTTGCGCATTTTGGTTCACATCTCATCTCTATTTGTGTCGTGTGATGGTTCATAATCCGTGTGATTGGTAACGTGGCATGCATTGTGGTACACTCTGGCAAGTTGTGGACAGTTAGGTCCCTCGCAAACATGGTATCGGAGCAGTACTTGTTGCACTCACTGCGCTGGCATGAGCAAGGCCGGCGAGAGGAGGAAGGACGCTGGCTTGATGATGGTGCTGGCGATGGTGGAAGAATAGAAGAAGTGGACTGGGATAGGAGACAGAAGTAGGCCGAAGAGGAAGTGGCACAGGGAGACTTACCTTGCGTGGAGCATTGGAGTGCGGAGCGACGAGGAGTCTTCATCGACGACATCTGCAAAAGAGAGA